ATCCCAAGTTCTAAAAAGATATCAATATTCAACGTTTCTTTGGAAATGTTTAGTGTTAATATTATCTCACATTGAAATAATATTTTTGGGACCAACTCTAGAACAAAAGAAATACTCTTTTTTAAAATATAAATAAAATTTTTAAAATTACCGTAAATTTGGGGATGTCACGGTATTTAATAAATATGGTATCCCATTTCATTCGTGTCTATGGGTTATAAGTTCACACTAACAACGTAATTCTCAAGATCATCTAGAATAATCAAGTGTTGTCATATTACTCTAGTAGATGGCCCATATATACTCACTTGTTATCTGATACAAACTCACCATTTATGGATGTCTAGAAAGCAGAGGACTACTACACTTCGCTTTAATCTCACACCTTAACCAAGAATGAGACTACTTACTTATTCAGCTTACTTCGAACTAAGCATCATTTACAATCCTTATTTTATAACTAGACAATACTATAATACATGTAATCAACTTCCAATATAATTTCTTGTTCATGCAATACTATCATAATAGAGGGTATACATTTAGCACAAAATACAAATAGTAAGCATTTAGTATATATTTAATATTTTAAGTAATAAATACTTTCTATTAAGATCGTGCTCATGAAAGTACCTATGTAGTCACCTGATTAAAGGTAGAAGACTTTCAGGTAGGTTAACTCATTATCTAGCACTTTTAATTTTTCTTTTAAATAACCTAAATACAAATATTACTAAGTTTTAGTCATCATTTATTTTATTCGATACTATAATAACAATATCTCAGATTCTTCATTAATCCTAAAGAATACTAAGTTCTATCAAATAAGGAATGACCATGTAAGATCATATTGGAGGTAGGATGTGTTTGGTATATAAATATATTGTTTGGAAAATCCACTTACAACACTTCACTAATATCTTGCCAAGACATCACACATGTAAGTAGATCAATCAGTAATTCAATATTATAACTAAAATTACTGATAAATCTTATTTATAGGTTCATAATAATGATAATGAAGTTAAATATAAGTTACAGTTAAAAGCATAGTAAGTGCAACTCAACTTACTAGGCTTTCTAGCGAAGTCAGAAATTTCGCGAGTGTAACTTCATCGCTAAATACTTTTTTTCAGGTTTTCCAAAGTTGTAGTGCCTTGCTAAGATTCTACACAAACTCATAAAAATCGTATCCCGAGAGTGCTGGAAAAGTTGAGAAAGAAAGGTGTGAAAAAATGTGAGAAAAATGAGGTTATTTATAGGAATTTTTGAAAAGCGTGTCGCACCCTACCACATATTGCATTCTTATGGTGCCATTCCATCGTACGATTGGTAAGGGGAATGGGGTCTGCAGCTGTCACGTGGTGGCTTCCGATGCTGCCACGTCATCCCGGGTTAAGTGGGATTGGAGAGCTCTTGATTTATAGGGAAAATTATTGTTTCTTTGGAAAATTGTAACTTTCGTATACGCGCTACGTTTTTGACGTTCTTTATATCCACGGTTTCATAATTCTGTGTGCTACAACTTTCCTTTAGATCTTAACATCTAATTTACAATCTGTTTTCACTTTATACGTAATAAAGAGCACACCGTGAAATATGTTGTGAAATTCATAACTTCTTCATAAAAGATCTGATCTCGACGTTCTTCATGTCCATGGTTTCATAATCTCGTATAGAGTGTACATCAACTTTCATTTACATTACTTTGGCTAACGAATAATATATTTTCTTTTCGTATTTTATAATAAATATCAGCGTAATACATTGTAATGTGTAACTTCGAAAAATCACAACTTTTTCATACTTTGTCAGATTTTGACGATCTTTATACTCACGAGTTCATATTCACAACTACTACAACCTTCATATATATTATTTATTCAAAATATTCTTTTAATTATAAACGTTATTTAACATAGTTTGTTAAGTTTATAATAAGATTTATAAAACAATTACATAACCATAATATTTATCCATATAACATGTACACAATACATATATAATTATCATTTCTATAAACATGTGTCGTGTATGAAGAATTTATATATATATATATATATATATATATATATATATATATATATATATATATATATATATATAGACACACACATACACAAAAACACACATTAGGTTATAACCCTTGGAAACCACGCTTGACAACAAATCTATTTATATAATAAGATAAAAAAAATTAATTATATAATTGGTATAAAAAGATGAAAATATTTTGTAACATCCCGAAAATTACCAAGAGATTTTTCATTTTTAAAATAAAATAACTAATTAAACCTTTGCTTCAAAAACCATTGAGTAACATTTGTTTAATTGAAACCATACATTATCATAGCTATATTTACAAAACCGCGGAAAAGAACATCTTCCATGCGTGTGTACAGTTCCGTCGAGCTCTTCTCATGAACGACCTGCAAAATGTTTAATCCACAACTGTAAGCATAAAGTTTAGTGAGTTCCCCAATATATCACATAATTTCATCATACATACAATGCATCCATACAAAGTGTTCGGCTCTAGCGCCGACCAGCCAAATCTCCTATCCAGGTAAACATACCTAACAATCATACAAGAAATAATGGGTCTGCTCTAACTTTGGGTGAATGTTATGGGTCAAATCATAGTCTTACATGCACATTTTTCCATGAGACAAATCATGGTCTTTCCTTACAATGTCGATGGCTAAATCCTGGTCTTACATTCAACTGTCGTGGGTTAGATCCTAGTCTTCTATACAACTTTCAGAGGCCAGATCCTAGTCTTTCATATAATTGTCAAGGACTCAACGGTCAGATCCTGGCCTTTTATACAATTTTTCAGGGGTCATATCTTGGTCTTTCATACAATACATAAAGTCATATGTAGTTAGGGATCAGATAAACAATTAAACAAATGACCCACCGGAGAGCGAACAGTCAGACAAGAACATCACAATCATGCATTAGGCTAGGAGTTCTCAGGCTATCAGAACTTACACCACATAGAACCCAAGATATGATTATCACCTAACCATGTAACATAAACACCTAACAGATACTAGCATATTTATACCCTTAACAACTAGCATTCCCTAGTTACCCTACCATAAACCACTTCTCAATTAAGTTATTAGTTGGTCACTTATACATAATCCTGATAACTGGCCTACCCAGTTATCCTAACCAAACATAACCCCTAACAGTATCATACGATCAACAGGCAAGACCTTACCAGCCTAGCCAACTGGCATACTTGTACTCTAACAATATCTCTATCCTACCATGTAAAGGATATACAATGAGATATGTGGCATAGTGAGAAACTCACCTAAACTGAAGAACCGAAAAAGCACAGCAACACCCTTACACCTTGCACGGCTCAAACCCGCAAACCGACTAGCACCAAAAGAAATAAATCTTCAATTAGCAATCTAATTCCTCCAAGTTTGACCTCAAGTCAAACCGGTCAAATCCTCATCATATTTGCTTATCTTAAGCTTATTTTTGATTTACAGGAGCGTAATTGAAATGCCCAATCGGACAAGTGTTTTTAGTCTCACATATATAAGTATTAAAGTAAGATGCTCTCGGATTATCAATTCAAGTATATCCTTTTTGACTGTCATTCATGACTAAAAAAAATATTGCAATTTCATTATAAATAAAGAGTTTAAATCATCAAGAAGTTATGGTTGTTTTTGCTAATGAAGATCTGATTCTAAAAATGCGTCACATTGAAGTGTTGTACTTTCAAAAAACCTACACAATTATAGCACTCTACTTCCAATTTTTTCTTATTATGGTATTCTACTTAGCAACATAATTCTCCATAATGAATAAATAAACAAAGTAGGATGCCTTGACATCTAAACAGGAATACAGGATAAAGTCTAATGTTTTGATAGAAACAAATGTAAGGATGAATGGATGATCGTGCTTGAACTGTAATAACATAGGTAGGGATATCATATTTATGTTTCAAATTGATACTTATTAGGAGAAGTTTCAATTATACTATTTTTATCGTTTGTATTGCATTAAAATGACCTTTATACCCTTCATCTTCTTAGTACCATTTAGTGTTCTTATATGCGTATTTATTCTCTTTTTAGCCTTACCCCACTTATTTAATTGCTATTTGTAGGTTCTATATATGTAGCTGATGGCTTAGAATATTTCCATTGTTTGGGTATCCCTTCTTCCAATCTCATTAAATTGCTATATGTATGGTTATTCCCTCTTTACCCCTGATCATCTGGTTATGAGGTTTCACTCATGAATACTATAACTCAAGTAGATTGATTGAATGCAAAAAATAACAAAATATTCATATGACTATTCCTTTGTTGCAGTTGTGCTCGTATAACTATTCTATAAAAGAAATTTAACTGGTAATATGTATGTAGTCCCTAATTGACCTGTTTTTATTTTTAACCAATTTTTAATATTTGACCTGTTTGACTTAAAATATAATGCGAACTGACTTTTTTAGCTAGACTAATTGAAATTGTCTCATTTATTTGAAAAGCAGTGAAATGCTCCAGATGTGGCTATATAAATAGTTCAATGTTTGCTTGTTATTTTCATAATCATAGACGAGGCATTTTATTTGTTATTTTTGACTTAATCGGGATAAAATGACTTAATAGGTTAAGCAAAAAAACATGGTTTAATGTATCAAGACACTAACTCTTTACCTATTCTCCCTTTGTGTTTCCTCACATTAAAATTGTTTTTGATGAATATATTTTGAAATTTGTTTTCAAGGGTAAAATGGTCATTTAGTCTAGTCTGGAGAAGAAAATGACCTTATGTGTACAACAGTTTATCCATGCATACATCATTACCCATATATGACTTGATTTCAGTTAGTGCATAGTATAACTATATTATACATCCATGTCTTTTTTCTTTATCAACTATCAAGGGTCTGGTTATGAGGATGGAATGTAATCATAAAAGAATGGAATAGACAATACCATGGAATGAGAATAGATCATTGCATTCCATTTCATGTTTGGTTGACTTGAAGAAACGGAATGAGTCATTCAAATTCAAACAAGCGGGCCTTTTCTTTTTATCTTTTTCTATTTCCAAAGTACTACGTGTAACTATTTAGAATTTCACATGTTAATATCTAAGCCTGTACATTCATCAAACGATCCAAATCACTTAATTTGATTTCGATTTTTCTTCCATCAAACCTGTAACACACCACCCCACCATCATCCTCCAATCTACACTTTAGTTTGAGCCATTTAGTCACATAATCAACTACCTGCAAAAAATACAAAATAAATTTAATCTTTTGATATCCTGTTATTGTTTCTGCAAAATTAATACAACATCACAATTATCCAGTATGTACAAACAATATTAGAATTTTATTTATGATAAAAGGATTTAAATTGCAAAATAACCTATATAGAAACATTCTTGTTGAAGCTATCAACACTTCTTTTGTAGCTGCTATGAAAGCATCGTCTGCCTACATAAAAAAATAAAAAAATAAAAAAAATTCATAAATAGAGCAATTCCAGTATTTAGGGTAATATTTTATATATGTTAATGGGGATTACCTGTTTTCTAAATTTAGCAGCATCAGTGTAATTTCGAGCCCTTGCAGCATTCTCTGCCTGCAATTATTAGTGAGTGACATTCAATGGATTAAACTGATTAAAACAAACCGAAATCAAATTTATTACCTCTGTTATACAAGATCTGTGGCTTTCAAAAAGGGCATCTGCAACTTGGTAGCAGTTACTGTAGCTGAGTTCTTTTCCTACAGAAACCACAAATGTGTTTACATAACATTAGAAATTAGGAATGGAATGAATTCTTGGAGTCTTTTGATGACTTACCATCATAATTGACTCTCTTGCAGAAGATCGGCCCAAAAGACTTTAACTCATCTATTGCTTTTTCCCAGGATTCTTGATCATCAACGAAATGACTTCTTGGACTGTTTGGTACCGGAGCTCTTGGACTATTTGGTACCGGAGTTCTTGGACTGTTTGGCACCGGAGTTCTTGGACTGTTTGGCACCGGAGTTCTTGGACTGTTTGGCACCGGAGCTCTTGGACTATTTGGTACTACCGGATTCTTGGGAGAACTCTTAGGTATTGAATAGATTGAGGCACTTAAGTATGAATCGAACCTTCTGCCACTAGACGATGGCGATGGCGATGGCGATGGTGAAGGTGATGGAGATGGAGATGGAAATGGAGATGGAGATGCTGAAGGAGATGGCAATGCTGAATTATCAGTAGAAGTGGGTGTACCTAAGTTCTTGGTTCTTATTCGAGGAATCTTAGGCATTGGAGAGATAGAGGCACTTAAGGAAGAATTGAAATCGTTACATCTACTAGACGATGTTGAAAGAGATGAATCAACATCAGAAGAAATGTTAACCACGTTACCAGTGCCGTTGCCGGTGCCGGTGGAGGTGGTAGTGGCGGTGGCGGTGGCGTTATCGGGTTCCCCGTCGTTCCTGTTTCGCGATCCAACCATTTTTGCTTCAGAACTTTCAGAAAATGGCTAAATTCATCTGCCTGAATATGAATAGTTGTGAAATAAGAGCTTTGATTTTTGGGAAGAACTTCTGAAGAATAGAAGACATTTAGGGGGCTGTATCACTTCTGAAGAACTTCTGAGTTAATGAAAATATAAGTTTTTTTTTTTTTTAAAAATACGCGCCCAAAATCTACTTCAATTCGATTCACTTTAACAATTATATATTTTATTTTATATTTCTTAATATTTACTATTTACATCTTCATCCCTATTTTAATAAAAGAATAGTTTTATTTTCCTTTTGACATGTGTTATCCTATTAGTCTCCTAATTAATGTATATTTTATTCTCCTTTTGCCATGTATCATCTTATTATGTCTCCGAATTAGTGTATGTCACTTTTCAACTCAATTTCAAATTTCAAATTTAAAAATTTCCACTTTAATTACATTAAATTAATAACATTAGAATAAAAATTAAAATAAAAATAATACAAATGATATAATTTCACATATTTATTTAAATCAATGATTAAAAATTATATAACTAAAAAAACTCTTAAATAATAATTTATTTAAAATAATTAATTAATAATTTTGAATTTTTACTATAAAAATTTAATTAATTTTATAATCGTGGTTTTCCACGTGTTATAAACTAGTTTTTTTTATATACATATCTTCTCTCGTAATAAAAGAGTACAATTTTGTCCACGTGTAAATTTCTCATTTCTCATAATTTATAATTATTTTTCACAAACATTCTTAAAATCACGTGCTCCTATTCTCGCTTTCCCGCTCGCTGTATCGCTCCATTATCTCTCAATCTCTCGTCTCGGCGCATTTCTTGCTCAATCACAAGTTACGATCCCGAAATCATCATGTTGTTCAAAATTGAAATCCCTACTTCTCCTCATTCGGATTTAATTCAATATATCATCTTCTCATCATCTCCACCGTAATTTTGTAATGAAAATTACAATGCCTAACCTCTTCTTTATTTCCTACTCAAGATGATATACGGTTTGATTTGGTTTTCCCATCAAAACCCTAGCCCCTTCTTACCTTATCACATCCCCTAAATAGTAGGATATTAGTTTTTGAATTAGAATTCCCGTTTACCTTTTTTGAATCACATGGAACACTTTCTCTCTCAGTCGTTCTCCTCTCGGCCACCATTCGAAACCCTAAACAGGGTCTTGATGAAGGCTATGAATGGAATTTTTTATCAGGATAAAGGCCTCACAATCCATGAATATTTGGATGAAGACGAAGAATTCTTGATCTGGGTTAACTTTCTTTAGGTTTGGTATATTTTTGCTTATATGTTTTTGGTTAGCTTAGATTTGATGTTCATGTTTCGATTTTGTTGCTTCCATTTAATTCCCTAGATCACCATTTTATTCCAATTTTCAAGTCTTCAAATAAGGTTTTGGTCATGATACTGATGCGTGAAGCAGAACATGGCTAAAGAACAAGAGAAACGAATCAGACCTGGGTCGATTCGTCTCTATTAGCAACAAACTTGCCACATAATAATGAGATTTTAGAATGATGTTTCTTTATAGGTTCTTATGCTTCCTCTTCTAATTGATATTGATATTGATGATCTTAGTAGTGATATGTTGGTCTGATTATGCAAGATATTGGATGACCATTTGAGAGACCAACAAAATCATGAAAAAGCAGAGCCATGTATCATTAATTTATATTTTTTTATCCACCCTTCTAATTTCTAAAGATGTTGAAGTCTTAATTTTTTTTTTGTTTTTGTTTGCAGGTGTTACATGAACTAAGGCTTAATACTTCAACATTGCTATTGATTTCTCTCTGTAATAACCATGGGTGTTGTGTAACTAGCAATCAGTACAATATATTACTTGGAATGATCTTGTGGAGGATAATATAGATATTGGTGGGAACGAACCCATATTACAAGTTATACTCATTTCTTTTCTATGATTAGATATAAGATATAATATACATTTTTATCTTTATCTATAATAAAAGAATATAAGTTCCACCATAATTTTCCATGTGCAACTTCTCATTCTGTTTTAACTCCATGTTCTCGCCCATGTATAAAGGTATTGTTGGAAATTCCTGCTAGAAAATGAATCTAAACAGCTTTGCACCTTCTCATTCAATTTCATATTCCATTTTATATGCATTAATCTCACTGCTGCTGCAACTGATTTAGTTTGCAGATCAATTTTTATTAATATGAATCTCATAAATCTCGGTAAATTCACATCTCAAAATTTGAATTCTTCCTATAAGTTACCAATATGAAATCATTGCATGTGTCTTCCATATTTTTGTATGCTTGAAAAAATGGCAATTTGGACTATACATGTCACATTTTGATGAATAAATACATGGTCTTGTTATCATTAATATTCTTTTATACAGCTATTGATTCCAATCTTTTTCCAAATGGGTGTACAACTAAGAGGATAAATGGTGTAAGTTCCTTTTGCCTTTCCTTTCATGGTTATGTCTGGTTTACTATACTCTATGATGCAAAAGAATAGCAAATTAACTTTTTGGGGTTATCTTATTGAAGATGTAATTAAGTGTACACGTGCTAACAAAATGACATTTTTGTGATTTCTATTTATCTTAAAGTACAATGCTTTTATGAGATAGATTGTTTTTTAACATACATATGCATTATGTTAGATGTCTGTTTTTTGGATTTGAATGTTAAAAAACTCCACTAAAATTACTATAAATTATCTTATGTCATATTTTGTATTTGTTCCTTTTTATTTGCTAGATGCATGGAAGATGGTGATTGGTTTTCATGTGAATTTGTACAAATAATCATTAAAGGACACACATAATTGTGTGTTTATTTTGGGCTTGGTCGCGTAGGTGTCAAGAAATAAGAATGGTGAAAATAATATAAAATTAGAAAAATAGAAGCATGATGAAAAAAATGGTCAATTCTATTTACTCATGGATAATACTAAAGGCTTTTTTTGGACGAGTTTACCCTCAATGAGGAAGTACCTGATATTCAATTGGTGATAAAGTACACCCGAAAAACTCTATAATTTGGTCTAGGTTTTGGCTGTAATTCCCCTTAAAAAAAATTATGTTGTTCTAAAAAAGTTGTGATTGCTTTTGAGAGGAGAGTACAAAATGTTGACTAAAAGATATTAAATGGTTATTGTTTTTCTAACCATTTTAAATATTCTTTTTAGTTAACGATTATAAATTTAACGTTGACATTGTGTTATTAAATGAAACTTTTTTGCTATAACAGTCTGTTTTATTTAAACCGTGTGTTACACGCGTTATAACCTAGTTGATATTACATATCCTTCCTTTTAATATGTATTTTTCTTTTCTGTTCATTCAATACGTATTTTTCTTTTTTGGTTCAATTTTTATGTTATGCATTCTTTTTTTAGATTATAAACACTTTTAATAATAAAACAAATTTTTGAGGTTATAAAAATCTTAAATAACAAGTCAAAAAACAACCATAAACGATATTGCAAGGGCATTTCTTAACAAACCAAAAAATAACCGAAATTAGAAAATAGACAAGCAACCATTTAACAAAAAAAGATGTACAACTTCAAACTAAGGTATTCAATTCAAAAAAATGTACATTGTCCACTCAAAATATTAAAACTAATATATGTCGCTTATTCAAATTTATATCATCATTTAAAAAAGTTAGGTATGCATTTAAATAAATAAAGTTGTTTTTGTGAATAGAATTGAAGTTTTTAGTGTTTGTGATTATTTCACAATCTTAAATCTTGATGGGTATCGTATAGTAGGATTTTTTTTTTAGTGTAGTTAGTATAACTATCGAGACAGGTTGAGTTATGTTTGCTATCTGAGATTGGAGGTGTGTAGGTGCATACTCGGAATGTCAAATATGAACTCAGGAATAAGGGGGTATGGGGGCAGCACCCTTGGTTATGGGGTTCCAAGGGATAGCCCCCGGGTTGGGGGGGGGGGGGGGGGGGGGGGTCTAGGAGCAGCTCCCCTTACGGGGTCCATGAGGTAGAGCCTCTGGCGGTTGTGACATCATGATGATGTCATTTTCGGTTATGTCTAAAAACCATCTTTTTGGCACCAAAAATGTATGTAATCCCCATTAACCAACTTTCAACCGATTCTATCATCTATATAAGGTTGATTGAAGTTCCAAAATTCGGTTAGAACTTATATACTCGAAAATAGATCATTTGATCTCTTTGTCTCTTACAACAAAACATCAAGCAAAGGTATTTTATGTCTCACAATTTGCATTATGTAACGTTGCAACTTCGGGATAGAAAATTAAGATACAATATGTGATAAGTATTATAATTTGAACCCTCGAATAGGGAAATCGTTAATTCCGCGCATTGCATACTACTTATTATAAGTCTTTTAAGGAATTTATCGACAAACGATAATACGAAATTTTTATAGAAGGTTATTTAAGATAAGTAATCTTAACCAAAAGGATTGTGTATATATAAAGAGCTCTAAAATATGACTTCGTATGAAGAAGTTATGCTTCTTCGAAGTTCAACGATTAAACCGACACAGCTACACGCGTTGTAAAAAGTTAATTTTAGATAGGTTGCTTTTTAGACTAAGAAATCTAAATTGAAGTCATAGTAATCGTAAAACCAAGAGCGTGCATATAGAGAACGTCCAAATCTGACTTTGTATGAGGAAGTTATGATTTTTCAAAGTTTCAGTGCAGCGATGCGGACACAGAAATCAAAACTCAAATCTATTGATTGTTAGCCGAAACAATCTAAATGATAGTTGAAGATATCGTGATAAGGAGTCTATCAATATAAAGATAGTCGATAACATATTTCATAGGAAATAGTTATGAATTTTACACAGACTTTAATAGTTTAAACTGATCTAAAGATAAATTTTAGTTAGAGTGAGATTTAGCAGTTAAGACCTTAATGAAAATTGTAGCGTTCATCGTGAGGAATTTGATGATATAAAGAACATCGAAAACAGAGC